AAGCAGCCACAACTGGAGAAGGCAACAAAAGGTGTTTTTTGGGAAACAAGCCACTTCTCTGCAACGAGACTGGTCTCGTCAATCATAGAATCATAGAATGCCCTCGGTTGGAAGGGACCTTGAAGTTTATTAGTTCCAGTCTCCACCATGGGCAGGGATGCCAAACACTAGATCAGGCAGCTCAAAGCTCTATCCAATCTGAAATTTTGCGTTTCCAGGGATGGGGCATCAACTTCTCTGAGCAACCTGTTCCAGTGCCTCACCACCCTCAGAGTAAATAATTTATTCCTAACATCTAATCTAAACTTACCCTCTTTCACTTTAGCACCATTACCTCTTGTCTTACCCCTATCTGCCTATGTAAAAAGTCACTCTCCCTCTTTTTATAAGTGCCCTTTAAGTACTGGAAGGCTCCAGTGAGGTCTTCCCATAGCCTTCACTTTTCCAGGCTGAACAACCCCAACTATCTCAGTCTGTCTTCATAGCAGAGGTGCTCCAGCCCTCGTCATTTCTGTGGCCCTCCTCCGAACCTGCTCCAACGACCCATGTCGTAACATATTCAGTCTCTCCTTTGAGCTGCTATAAAACATAGTATTATGTCTATAGACAGAGCTGTAGCAAGTGATAAAAGCAGCTTAAGGGTCTTTTATATCCTTAGTAAAAATTAAAATAAAAGTATCTATTAAAAATTCTGGTCTGAAATAGATTGCTCAGAAGATGTTGTACACAACAGTGATGTTCAGTTAATCTGTGGCTCGCTGATGCCTGCCAGCTGCCAAATAACTTCTGATATCCTGTAAGTTAATAAATAATTTACTTGCTGTTGATAGATCTAAAATCTGATGTTCCTGTTGTAGAACTATATTGTGCCAAGTCATTCAGACTTAGTAATGAAAAATCCAAAGAAATGATGATGAATTAATGTTTACTCAGAGTGTCCTTGGATTATCCGTCATAAGCACTTGATCCTCAGTAAATTCTTTAAATCTGACTTTCATAGTCATTTAATATATAAACTTTTCTTTTAAATAACACTTTTTCCCCAAATAATTCCCCATATTTTCCCATCACAGCTGCAAAAGATATCTGGAATTCCATGCTTATTACAGCATGTAATAAACAGGAGATGGACACAATGACCTTTATGGGTCCCTTCCAACTCAAGACATTCTATGATCATATGACTGAAGAAGAAAGCAACTGGCTTGAACCTCTGACTCCATTTCCCTTTGTAACAGCTACTATTTACATAGCTGAAGATGCACTGTTAACACAAAGAACTAACTTCCAATATAACCTCATCTTCATTCTTCCATCCTCTGTTCCCAGTGTGGTTTGTTTTGGGTTTGTTTTAGGGCTGAAATGCTTTGTGCTCTGAATTAATTTAGTCAAGTAAAGAGTCAGTCACAGTCTTCTTTCAAATGAAGGCAGTTTAGAACCAATTTGTCAAAACAGCAAAATTAAGAGTATGTTTAACTAGAGTGTGTACATAGTAAAAACCAATGTAAGAGCTTAGCTGAAATATGAATTTATTAAAGAAAAGGGATTTTTATGCAGCTTCTCTTCCAGCTTACTTCTTATTTACCGAAAGGTACATTTTTTCTGGAGATATGAAACACTAGTTGCTAAAGACTAACTTGTCCAACACTAATACAAAGATAAGTAAACTTGGTTGTACAGCTTTAACCCTTTAGACTGAAACAGGGACTAGTAGCAAGAAAGGATTTAACAACTTTAACCGCACAATTATTAACATAGTTTTAATTTTTTAACAGAAGCAGATAAAGACAAGCAGTAAAAAGGTACAATATTATGATATTTTTCTCCATCAATATTATGGAAGTGCATTAAAATAAGTATCTGTAAAGGAGATCAAATAAGTTGACACTAAACACCTAAGTAGCTTATGCTGAATTTGATTACTCAGGTTCACCAGGCTCTAGATACTAATTTATAATTACATACTGTTTGTGGGAATTAAAAAAAAAGTTAATACAATTTACAAAATCTATATTTTACTGCTAGAAAAAAGGAGTCAGGAGCTGCCCAACAAACATTAACAAATGTGGTGTAATGGACTGCACAAGCCTTTTAGCCCAGGCTTGCCTCTTAAATCATAGATCTTTGCTTCTTTCCTCTAGCCACATCCCAATTCACTTTTTTTATTCCTTCTGTAACCCCAAGAGACTTTATTTTCAAAATTGCTTTTATCTGTCATGCCATGTAAAATGTGCTTTAGAAGTCTAAACAAATTAATGCCAACCTGCCTCCCTTGCTCACTGTACTCTATTCTCCCCAGAAAAGTCAAATATATTTCCTAAGTTAGAGCTGCTGTCCCGGAATTCTTACTGATCTGGAATTTAATGAATTCCTTAATGTACAAACTACATTTCAGTTAACTTCAAAGGATCAGTCCTACAAAAGGAAGGGGTGTTTTAAATTACTGAATAGTAAAAAAATTTATTCCAGAAATTCCTAACTTGTACAAATTTAGAGCACAATAAGTAGTAGAACAATTCTCATTGTTGTCTCTCCTAAGAGAGAATCTCTCTTACCACTTGAGATTTCTAGCATTGCACATATATTTGCCCTACCAAGAACATCCAAATTAAAAATCAATCACAATATTGCAATTATGAAGTGTCATAATTGAATTATAAATGAAAGAAAAGGAAATCTGTGGGGAAAAAAGTTAAAGACACCAGCAAACAATAATGGTCATGTCAGTCAGAATGCCTTTTCTATATCCTCCTTTTAGAGAGTTGAACAGTGATAACAACTGCAATTATCATGGAGAAGCTCTCCATCCACAAATCTAAAGACAAAGTGTATTCTTTCCAGAATTAGAAGTCAATTCTCCTTGAATATGTCATGAATAGGTCAAAAGTTTTCATCATATGATAAGGGCACTCAGTTCTGTAGGACTTGACATCAACTTCTTACACATTATTTCAATAATTCAACACATTTCAAAACAAAATTCTTAAGAGAAGCTCCTGAAGAGTAGCTCTTATCTTAAAACTGTTAAGTTAGTAGAAATTAGAAATCTCAAGTTCAGAAAAATGCAACTATTTCTATCTGTTCATAAGGCAATGTCACCTCACTAGAATTTGAAGTTTAAATAGTAAAAACACTGTAAGATGAGGAGTTGCCACTTTTTCAATAACAACAGGATTTAAGCATCCATTTAGAGAATGACAAAACTACTTTCATGAAATGTCATTTGGACTATCTTTGCAAAATACTGACGTATTAGAATTGAAGCCATATGGTGTTATGTACTTGATTGGGGGGCTGGGGGAGTGTGTAGAAACAAAATTAAATGCCTGAGGAAGAAAAGATGCCTAAAACCAACTCTTAAAAGAAACCCTCTAAGACTGAATTTGTGAATTTTAAAAGGCAGCATTCCATTTATTATTATGATGTTAGATGCACGAGAACCTAATTTCTTCAAAAGCATGCATACCTGAGTTACAAAAGCCTCTTGCTTTTATTTAGTTACCTAAACAACAATTCAAAACATTATCTAATACTGTTACACCCACTTCCAAAACCGTTCCTCCCTTAGTACCACCCCTGACATGCCTCCCTAATTTGAGTTGGAGGTCCCAAAGACCCTTATCTCCATCTTGTCTTCCTCTTCCTCATCTCCTTTGGCACAGTATCACACCTTCTGGAACAGTTTAAGGCTCCTGAACAGCTCTACTTATATCAAGTGTTATTTCTCAGTACATTTTACAGATAGGGAACTCTTTGCCTCGTTAAAATCCCTTGTCTGTTGAAATTCTTAATGAAGAATGCAAACATAATTTTTAGAAATCTGGTACAAAGGTACTCGCAAGCTAAAGGTACTAGCAAGCTATACCAAAACTTATTTAATATAGGTTTTATGGCTACAGAAGTGCTGCAGGAAGTGAAAGAAGAATACATTGCTGACTACAGCAGAACAGCTACTGTTTCCATTACAGTGAATGTTTTTGAAGGGTTTTCTCGTGCACGTGCCCAAGTTAACTTTCTCAGTCTCTCGTGTAGGTATCAACATGAGCTAATCCCCAAGATTCACTGTTGGGGAACATCACAGAGTGTGTGTTGCTGAACCAGACAAGCCAGCCTGACACCAAATCACGTTAACCCTCTGATGATGTTGCACTCTTCAGAGTCTCGCTGAAGTTGCGCAACACAGATTTTTAGAGTTTGACTCAACATGCTTTCAGTCATCCTTTCATTGAATAAGTATGTGCACATGTTGGTTTTGTAGCTGGTGAGACACTTTTAATAAATATGTAATAGACATTTAATTGCTTCTGCTCTTGAGTGCAGGGAATCTCAGAACATATTTCTAGTTTGTGTTCTAGATTGTTGAGTTTTTTCTCTCTTTTTTTTTTCCACCTTCTGAAGGACTTTTAATGTCACCATAGTCTAATGAGATTTGGAATTACATTATGAGGAAGTTCAAATGTTATTACATCCCACAGAAAGGAAGTTTCTAGTTCTGAAAATCATCTTTATTAGTAGCACAGTTCTTAAGGACAATGTTTTAAAGATGAATTTTCATCAAAGGACTCTCTGTATGTTCCTGTCTTTCTTTGGAAAGATTTCTTCTACCTTCTTAATTATAGTAAGAAATTTGCTTAAGCTGTACTAGAAACCAAAATAACTTCTTAATTTTTAACAGCAATTTATGTGTAAAAGCCACTTCTATACAGAAGACATAATGTACTGCCTAGTCTTCTTTCCAAATTAAACTGTTAAAGACTGTCACTCACACAGCTTTTTTAAATACTTTTAATAAGAAGCTCTTCATTAGTTCTTTCAAAACACTGTTCACTAGATATCAGGAAATGTCACTGTGTTACTCACTGGTCATAAGGGGCTGAGAAAGAAAAAGAAAGGTGCCACGGCCCGCGGGGGTAAAGGGAGTGGGACCGGGCACTGCAATCAGGGTCTTCACACAGTTGAGGTCTCGCACAGCAATGCCCCTTTACTAAACCAAACAGGGACTTATATAGGGTAGGTTCAGGGGGTGGACTCAGGACTGGGGAGGAGTAAAAGACGGGCAGCTCAGGGAAAGTAGTGATTGGGAGACAGGGGAAAGATGGGTGGCAACCTTGGGTCTCCAGGGGAAAGGGCCAATGGGAGCTCTCTCTGCACTGCAGCAAACTGTAGCCAATCAGGTGCAGAGGAGCGGGAAAGCAGGGGAGGACAAGGGAGTAAACAAGTTTTGGAGGGAAAATGTGAGGGAAGAAGGGGACAATATGGAGGATATGAAATCTTCAACAATAAACTGGGGTACACAGAACTTCATAACAATACAACAACAAACTGGGGAAAACTGGGGAAAACTGTCAGTCCAGTATAAAGGTGTCCAATCTGGTATAAAGGTGTCCATTCAGGGATCATAAATCTTTCTCCATGCTTGGTATTTTTTCCATTCCGTTTCCTCTCCTCCAACAGAAAGGCCCCTACAGATTTTATTAAAATTTTAAACAAATGGCAAGTTTATTTGTGCCTAAGTGAGAATTCTAGACTTTGGTTTTCATAAGTATACGGTACAGAGGAAAAAGAAAAACACAACACAACCAAACAACAGAGAAGACCCAAACTGAGCTTTGGCATACTACTTGAGGCACTTTATTCCCCCAAAGTCTAAGATTAGGTTATTTTTTATAAGACTTGAAGTAAATATAAGGTATCAAAGCTCCAAGCAAGAGATTAGAACAGTGGGTTGTTTCCATGGATGTCTGTATTAGAGTCAGCAAATATGGTAGGACATCTGATGTCAAAAAAGAGGGGGAAAAAAGCCAAACTAACCTCTGACTCATAGTCTTACAAGAGCCTTGCCTCAAACTCTATAGTCAAATTATTTGTTTGACTATCAAAGTGTTTTTTAGTTAATCAGCAGTTATGGGGGAGGAAGTAATTAAAATAGTAATCTTATATTTGGGAAAGAAATATAATATTATTTTAAACTGAAATAATTGCAAATTGTTTAAAGTAATAAATATGCATGCAGAGATCAGAAGATCCTAAGTCTTACCAGGAAAAATAAAAATTTGAAACTTAAACTTTCTTTAGAAAGTTTGTAATGGTTACATCAGTCATGGATGTCCTGTTCTGTGTTTTGAGAAGCTTCAGCACATAACTGAAGCAGAACTGTGGTTTTTTGATAAGAGATTTTTATTATGTTCTTGTAGTACAACTGATAATGCCTATAGTTCATATTGATTTCAGATAAGAATTTGATCAGTATGAGACTATGTAGCTAATCCACACTTTAGAGTTTGACTGTTACTCTATTTGCTTCAAATAAAAAAAAGCTGTTCTTGTAAATCTAGTTATTTATTCATTGACCAGTTCCTCAGCTAGTGAGAAACACCACAGCTTAATCCACTTTAGTACAAGTACACTGAATTTTCACATGTCCAAGTTAAAATAGTTAGGGTGTATTTAAGTATCTTTCTTTCCATTTCCCTTGTCTAACTTGATTAATTTCAGTGGCCTAGCTCCTCATTTGTTTGGGACCGGTGTGTTCAAATTCAGATGTTAGTAAACTGTTTTGACCCCTGGAGTTTTGACCTCTTCAAGCCAGACTAATGACTTCAGTGTAAGATGTTTTCAGGAAATGCTGCTGGTATTTGAATCTTGGTAGAATTGTATACAGAGGAATAATCTTTTCCACCCTAAGACCATCAGCTGGTACTTCCGCAAGCATTTAATTCAATTATTATTTTAAGGTTATCAGCTCTTTTTGTTCACAAGGGAACACCTCTTGATACCAAAGCCAGCATAGACTGATGATAAAATGTATCTTTTATAAAAGAAAATGAGTAAATACAATGCAAGAAAACATACCTTAATGAGAATTTGAAAAAAAAATGTTTTCCTTACCTTATTAACCATTGCATTACCATTCTATTCTCCTTACAAAGATGAGAGAATTGTTAACACCAGATGCAGGACAGGAATTATATTTTAAAATCAAATTAGTTCACTTGACAATCATTCTATATCCTGAAGGCCACTGGAAGACTTGATGTTCAAACTGTAGTGTTCTCTTATGTTTGAACACCTAGGAAATAAAGGGCCTCTGTGAGTTACACATTTTACTGTTCTGGCAAAATCATTGGGATAACTTAAATCTAAATATAATATTTCATGGTATATCAACATTTTTCTCTGACTACTGTCCTCTCACATTTATACAAGAAGTATAGACTAACCAAAACCAAATACAGAGACAATCCATAGTATTAAGTACTGTAAAACTCTAACTAAGCAGCTTGTTACCTGTGTTTCCACAACATCAGTTTGGTCCTAAATTGCAACAAGCAGTCATCATAATTGTTCATTTTGCTTTCTCTTTTTTTCCTTTTGATTGTTGAGAGTCCCAGATATTCATGTCTACTGTGTATGACATGCATGTACATACAAAATTATATAATGGAATGAAATAGGCAGTTCTCTGCAATGTGGTTACTCATCTAAAGTATGCAAATTTAAGATAAAATCTTCTTTTATCTTTAACTCATTTTGTCTGAAGAAATGCATTTGAGTAGTAAATGCTTTGTAATAATCCCTTATTGTAAACTTTTCCTCTGAAGAACGGACCATACTTTTCTGCTTCATCTGATCTGTTTTAGGAAAATAACTTCTTCAGAGGGAAAAGATATCTGCTTTATATAGGAAAGAGACAGAGAAGACTATCTTAAGATGACTGACTCCAGCCCAAATACTACCTAAGAGAATCTAACTGAATACCAAGAAGTGAAAATGTTGTCTTTCTACATGAGTCAGCTATGGGTTTGAAGACCATAGAATCATAGAATGGTTTGGGTTGGAGGAGACCTTTAAAGTCATCTAGCCTAAACCCCAAGATAATAATAATCCTCAGAATTGGCTGAAATTTCATGATCCAGTCACCCATTTCTCTGAAATAACAATTAGGTCTTGGAAGAATGACAATACTAACGTTATGCTCTAAAGTAAGAAATAGTCTGTGTCACTTGTAACTTGTAAAAGAAATTCTGAAGAGAACCACATTAACCAGTGTGGAATTTGCATATTACAAATTAGTGCTTGCACTTTGATTATCTTTAATCTTTAGACTCCATCATGACTTCCTAAAGTTAAAATTAATAGTTAGATATGTAACAATGTGTGGTGATTGGGAGAATTTCCGAAGGATTAGAAAGAAAAGATGTTTCAACTCCAAACCGCTGGAGTTTTTCATTTTTTTGAAATGTTATTATTATAGTAAGGGATGACTTTAATACTCTGAGCAGGGCTTGAATTTATGTATGACTTATCCAATTGACTTTTCTATATGTTAGTTATTTATTTTGTCATGTATTTGAAGCTGTCCATCTGCAAAGGAGGGCGAGAGACTTCAGTGTGATCCAGGGCTAAACTGGCTTATATGGTGTGAAGTATGCTTCTGCTTCAGTGAATTGGACCAATTTTCTGAAAAAGAAAGGTAAATTTTATAGGTTTTGGTGTAGAAAACCTTATTCACAGGTGTCCCTTTTGGAAATTTTTATTTAATGGCATAAAATCCTCTAAAAAGTTCTGAAACTCAATTTCATTCCATGTGAAAATTTCAAGTGATTGTAAAAAGATGTGTTTAACATTTGTATAAATTGTCTGTGGCCTTATGAGTTAATATTCTTTCTAACAACACAAAAAATATGAACTACTGAATGAGTGATGATTCAGTGCATAACCAGCTTTCAGAAAACTCTTTCTCTATTTCTAGAGTTGTGCATGACCAAAACCTATTTTGTTTGTTTTTCTGTTTGCTTTTTGTTTTTCAACTCAGCCTCTTCCCTTCTACATTCAAACTATTCTGGAATCTAAATTACTTGAAAATCAGAAAGACCAAGCCCTTAATGTTCCGTCCACTTGAAAGATACTGAAAAAAATTGAAAGGAATTTTGTCTTGTGGAGGATCTGAATGTAAATATTATCACCTACAATAATTTGTATAAAAAGCCTAATGCTTTGTTCTTCTGCACAGAACTTGATCTTCATTATCTTACAACTGAACATAAATATCAGTATGATACTATGGGATTTTATCCCACTGATAGGAGAGTGAAGCCTCCATAAGACACCATTGCGTTTGTCATGAAGTTCCCAGAGATTGCATGATCATCTGCCTAATGACTTTTTTTCTGTATAGGAGCATAGAGCTCCCAAAACAGGGTCTAATCTATTAGCTGTGTGGACCACTAGGTATATCCAGATTCAGAGAACCATGACAATGAGTTTTAACCTATGTTGCGGGCTGCTTGTAAGACAGACATAAACATATGTAGTGATAAAGATATATATATGCCTTTGCTTAAAGTGTGTTACAAATGGGATGAGAAACAGTAAAAGTTTAAGAGTAAAATAGATGAATCAATTAAAGAAAAATTCAAGAAATCTTCCAGAGTCTCGTAAGTATTCTTTATTTCCCATTGTAATGGATGGCCTTTTTACTATTAAAAACGTAGAAATGTTGAAACCTAGTGCACTCACAGAAACTCTTCTCAAACTACAATAGTTATATGCAAATGGTCCTCAAAATGTTTCTGCTGCTCCAAACACCAACACTAACTCTCCAACCCCAGTGAAATACATTTTTTTCCCAGTGGCCTATTTATACTTGTAGGTTGATGCAGTGAAAAGAGGTTGGAGAGCATGTTACTTTTATTCAAGAACAGTGTGTGGGAGCACACATAGGAAGGGAGGTATATCTCATACAGGATCAGTTGCAGAGTATGATGATTCAGTCTTCATGGTTTAAGGGTTGAAGGTATGTCAGCTATAAGATACAGGGATGGATAGATGGATAAATATATCTCCCAAGGACCCCAAGGAGCTCCAAGAGTGTTTGAAGAAGTCAAATGTGAGCCCAGATCCACTAAGTTAGCTTTTAAGCTTTTTTCTAGTTTAGTGAAACTTTCTTTCCTAATGTTCAGCATGTGATGAACTGATTAACTGAATTTGAACTTAGGCCATATCCTTTAAATCTTTGTATGCCTTTTGATACAAGCCTATTGTTCCTCTTCAGGCAGCCTCCTCCTTGCATACAGATACTGTAGTTATCCAGTTTATATTTTATGTTGATTGCTGAGGAAAGTATTGATTAAAGGTGTCATCATGAGTCAAAAAGACTTTGTTTAGGCTTTAAGATGAATTGGAATTCAATTGTGCATTTCTCTGCTTACTTTTATAAAATGAGAGCATAACAACATAATTTACCTTGGATTTTTTTCCCCCATAAGAAGCCATGGGATACTAGTAAAGAATATTTATGGCATTCTGAGGTAATTCCCCTAATTATAGCTGGTGAAAATCTATAAAAGGAGGATGATGCAAACTGTCAGAATGAAGCAGTTGGACAGGAGAGATATGACTAGCAGCAATTGTGTTTCAGGTGGAAAAGGTGCAAAATGGAGAAAAAAAGGGACACAACATTTTCAGATTTGAAAATTGATATTTGCATGAATTTTCATATAAATTTGAACCCATATGTGGGAAAAAAATAATGGAGTGGAAATACAGTGGTTATTCTTCAGCCTAAATATAATTGGGAAGTAATGTTTGTGTGTTATTTATAGCCTTTATTGTTTGTTCTTAAGTTACATGAAAGTAAGTTATATTACACTTAAAAACAGTAATGAGAATACTGTGTAAACACAAGCTACCAACTTGTGATTATTTGCAGTGAGTTCATAATTTCTGGTAGATCAAGAATTATTTCCTTAAAAAAAATTGACAATGATACATGACTTTTAGTTATTCTGATTTTTCAGTCTGCTTTCGGACAGAAATTATTTACATATTTATATATTGTTTTTGGGGCACATAGTTTGTTGAGTTCTTGTTTTCTTGAGATTGATCCTGAAAGGTGAAATCCCTGATGCCCAGCTATGACTTACCAGAGTGGCAGCACTGTCTTCCAGTACCCAGCATAATCTGCTGAATTTCCTCTTACTATTGTGTTTCTAGGACTAAAATCCAGTGCGCAGCCAAGTCCTTAAATACTACGAACTGGACAGAGGGGATGGGAAGCAGGTTTTGATACAATTATGGACTTAAACCTGGCCTGAAAATACAGTATTGATGTAGATTTAAATAAAATGTTAAGTCCTGCATATTGTAAGCTATCAAATGCCATCAAGTCTTTCAGAAACAGAAAAAGAGAAAGCCAATGAGAGGAAAAAAATTTAAAATTTGTTCTGTATGTACGGATAGTGCACAGAGAGACACTGCCTTAGGTAAATCATTATTGGCGCTCTCCCACAAGCAACCCTGCCCACTATCACAGAATAACAAAATGGTTTGTGTTGGAAAGGACCTTAAAGATCATCTCATTCTGCCCCCTCAGCCATGGCCAGGGACACCTTTCACCAGACCAGGTTGCTCAAAGCCCTGCCCAACCTGGCCTTGAATATTTCCAGCCATGAGACATCTACAATTTCCCTCAGCAACCTGTACCAGTGCCTCACCATCCTCACAGTAAAGAATTTATTCCTGCTATCTGATCTAAACCTACCCTTTTTCAGCCTAAATCTATTCCTCCTATCACTACCTGTCCTTGCAAAAAGTCCCTCTCCAGCTTTCTTGAAGGCCCCCTTTAAGTACTTGGATATTATCTTACACAGTCCTTGTTTGACTGTAGCTGTAAGGAAGCTGCACATCGTGATTGTGATAGTTTTAGTCTAGGCCTTCCTTGGTGACCAGTTTGTAACCAATAAGTGGCCATATTACCCAGTATTCCCTATAGTTTTTACGTAGGCCAAGGGTATAAAGAAGGGAGGAGAGGCCTTCACTCTCTTCCCTTCTGGTGGCTCTGAAGGTGTAGGTTCCCTGCTGATGGTTCTGCTGTGTGAGGGAGTGAGGCCTAGTGAGGCCTTGTAGTCCTTGGGAGGCGGAGGGTGCCGGCACTCTGTCAGCGCAACTTCTGCTGTCCCAAGGAGAGTAGTAAGATATTCTTTTGATAGTTCCTTATTTGTCTAGTTTCCGAGTTTTTCAACTGTGCATAACTGTTTTGTTCTGTCCCCTTTTCTGCTTTTTTTTGTCCTTTTTTTCCCCTTCTCCCTTCCTCTCTTTTGCTTTTGGGAGCAGTTTGGGGTTTCTGTGTTCATAAGTACATAGTACCTTAATTGTATATCTGTAATATATGTAATATATATATATATATTTTGTATAATCTGGTTGATTTTGGTTTCTCTCAGTTTCTATAATTTCCTTTCCTTTCTTTGCCCAAAGGGGGAGGGAAGGGAAGGGCTTTCGCTGAGCTTTGGAGATTTTCCCGGAAAACCAGCTCACATTTGCTCAGTGATTTTTGGTAAAGTGAGGGCTTGTCATAGCTCTCATGCCACAGGATACTGGAAAGGTGGTAGACATGCTTTGCTCAGCGCTGACGTCTCAGAACACATGACCTTGGTCTCTGTCTTCTCAATGAAAGCTGATAACCTCAAGCATGGTTGTGTAGCTGTTCTCAGTCATACCTCCCCTTCCCTTTCTCCAAATGGAAATAACCACATTGTTTTGCTTTACTTTGGTGTAAAGTTCTACATAGATAAAAGCATACAAGTAGCTTAAACATATCTGTCATTGGCACATGCAACATTTAAGAAGAGCTGTAAAAGATATAAAGGAATTTTTCTTGCTCTGGAAAAGCAACAATTACAGAGGCCAGATATTTTGAAGTCATTACAAAACTTATCTCCAGAAGTGGTTTCTGCCTTTTTACAGAACAGAATTGGCATCTGAAAGACATGTCCATGGCACAGTAGTCTCTTCAGAGTTACACTAAAATCCCTTTTGTCACCACAATGACAAAACACAATAAAGTAATAATGATACAAACTCAAGAGCATCACAAGCACAGTCATGAAGAGAAATGCTCTGAAATTCTTTTAGTATTTTTCCCCCCTGTGCTGTGGCTTCAGGCCTACAAAGGTTTATGTACATAAAGAGGAAAGCCCAGCGGGAATGCTCATATGCCTCAAGTAAAACACAGGCTAAGTCTTTCTAGGCCTGAGACTGTCAGTTCAGGCTATCTGCACATTAATTTCTCTAAAATATATATAGTGTATATAATATATATATATATATATATCAATTACTACTTAAAGAAATTATTTGTAATGTGAATTTTATTTTATATTATAACCACATATTATTCTTGCATTTGGCAAAAGTGTATCAGAGCTCTGGTTCATTGTTTAATTTAAACTAAATTTAGTGTCATTTAGTCCAATGCATCAAAAAAGCGTCAGATGTGAAATTCCTTGTGACAGCTTCAGTATTAGAATTGGACATGCTAAGTCTGCCTCAAAGTCCCTAATGTAAATGTCTGAAATTTAGTACAGTTACTTTCTATACTGAGTATTTAAAAAATTCCCTGGAAGGAAAAGTACAAGGTGATGTGAATGACTGCTTCTGTGTCAGCTTTTTTTCATGTGCCTACAGAAACCACTATTTTTCTATGCAATCACATGCAGTAAAGCATGTTGGGTGTTACAGTGAAAGATTATCTGTGTCTACTACTCTCAGAGTTCTGGCTAAATCAAATGATGTGATCAGAGGTGTATGTGCTTTCCCAGAGGTATGGTCCAAACATATATCAAGATCCTTCAAAACAGTTCAGCAAGTTATTTTGCAAAAACATGTCTCTCACCTGTCGCAATACTTCCTCTAGGAAAACAAGGAGTGTCTGAACAGTAATATAAGCCAAAGGTTTGGCTCAGGAAAGGAATTTCATTTTATATTCTTCTTTTAATGAAGCTGCTAAAAGTAAAGCCAATAACTCTTCCAGATACTGTGACATACACTCCCTAAGGCCCTGGGTTTGGCTCTCGTACTCTTTGACATTGAATATGTCAGCTTTGCCTCAGTAGCTTCCTCCCTCTGTTCCCTTGAGAATCTCAGACATAAACTGGATTCTGGCTTTAAGTTCCTGATTGTAAGGAGAGACAAATACTGGTGTTCCCAGATGCCCTTATCCAGCCCAAATGAGTTTTCCTTCACAGTGGATTGTGCAAGTGCTCAACAGGTAAAATTTCATCTCCTTTCCTACCTGCTTTGATGAGGACTGAATGAAGTAGTGACATGTCACCAGTGTTTTCAGGGACATCCAATTTAGCAGCCACTGAGACGAGTGAGATCGGTCATACCTTATAATGCCATTGTTTAAAAGTATCGGAGAGCTGCCATTGCACCTATTGCTGTGGTTTGTGAGGCTATCACTATAGTTATAGCAGTTAAAACCTTTTTTTTGATAAAAGCCTTAGGTTTTGGAAGAGAACAACAAAATGCTGTACTGATGCACATTGACTGGATCTGCACTAGCTATATGTTTTATTTTGAAAGGAGACAAAGATTGCTATTCAGAGCTGTTTCTAATGAGGCAAGAACAGAAGTCTTCTCAGACCTGAGAAAGCTAAAGGGGTGTGAAATTTTGTCGTAAGTAGTGGAGCTGAACCCTACAGGAGCACAGAGCTGTGACTGAAGTGAGGTGTCTGTAATTCACATCAAGGATATGAACTCCTTAGATGGATGTAAATTTTCCTAGACAACATTTCAACAGCCATGGACTATTTTGGATTTTCTCTACACATGCCTTAGATGAAATACCATTATTGCAGGTTGTGTTTTTTGGATGAGGAATTCCTGTCTTTCCCATTTCAAAAAAATGAAGTTCTACAGCCAGATCCACAAAATTCCCTTAAAAATGTTTGACAAAAAAATCTTGCCGATGCATTAATCTAATTATTGGTGAAAATTATGAACTCTGATGGCGGAAAAGTGAAACAAAACCATTACACAAATAAAAGCTGAAAGAAACACATGATTGAATCATCAACAACCAGAGATCCTTTTAAGTATCCAATGAGGGAGACTAAGACTTCAGTATTTTTGGTCTCTCAAATGTCATCAGAGTTCTCAGGAGCCATATGCTGATTTGGAATGAGCATGTAAAAGTGGCCAAACACCTCTTTTTCAACTCTCTGAAGCTATAGTGTCTAGGTTGCATCACAGATTTATTTATTTCAGAAGAAAAATTAATTTTAAAAGGCCTGAATCTAGATGCATTTGCTACCTACCAGGACAGTTGCAACTCTGTATAATGGACAAGATTTCTAAAGCAAGTAGCACTTTTTATATTCCTATTGTTTGACTGTGCAGCTTGAGAAAATGTACAGAAGCCTGTTTGCAGAGCAGTTGCTTTCTCAAAAAAAAAAATAAATGACTCTTTCAAGTAGAAAAAAAAAAAAACAACACAAAAACTGAGGCAAAGTAATATAGGAACAATGGAGTTATAGATTTCCTTCCATGTATGTCATTAATGAGATGGTCTTCTACAGCATTGCTTTCAAACCTGATTTGTATTCTGAAATGCTAAACTCAGAACTAAATGAAATCATTATTAATGTGATCTTCTATCTATGCCATATATTTTTATTTCAGTGGATTGTTTTCAGAAATGTCAGTCTTCTCTGTTAATATAAATTATCATGCATCAGTAAAAACATGTGATTCAGTATAACTTTGTTTTCCAATTAGAACTGGAAGGCCTGCTTTGAAATCTAGCTGAATTAACTAGTGAACAAATGAACCAAGTAGAGCAGTTGAAGGCTGTGGCATCTCTTTGTTGTATTTCAAAGTCCTGTTTTAAGATTTTGTCTTCTGAAAATAAACAGTCTGTATCTCAGTTTTGAATTTCACTTTCTGTGACATTGTATAACAACATCTCACATTCAGCAAGAAAATCAATGCAAAAATATAGTTTAACACCACCAGTTCTTCCCAACTCTGACATGGAACTAACACATAATACCTACATGTACCTAATACATACACCTAGAGTATCTAATATTTACATAATATCTATCTATATGTATCTCTATATATTATGAGATAGGCCATATTTGTAATATATTACAATATATATATATCTTATAGTGTATATATATGTATACATATACTTATAGATAATATATATATCTATTGTCTAACATACATAAACTTCTTTGAAGTTTGTGTATATATTGGCTATGATCCTGAAGGGATCTCCTCGAATGAAACTTACAAGTCTGCTACAGTTATAGCAATGTTTTCATTATAAATTTCATGTAAAGTCTGCAATTTCTGAACTCAGTTGGGAGGCTCAGAAAGAGGATATTTGGTGGCCACATACATTTTTGCAGGTGGAAGAGAATAAATTAAGTCTTTACTTCTGTTCTCTAGGAGTTATGTTTTTAAAAATATGCTTTTCTTATTTATAAGATCAAGTTGTGAGTTAGTAGGAGTGAAAAGTGCCCAAAATTTAGACATGCAAGCAGTGTTGAGTGTTACATATAAAAGAGTGGAAAATATCCAAGGCAGGCAATGTTGAAAACTACGTATAAAAGAAATACGTATTTGTACTGGCCAAGCCCCATACGTGGCTGGTGGTGTGGTAAACATTTCTCACTGTCATGGTTTGCCTTCTCTTTTCAGAAATAGATATGTAGTCTTTGGAAGGCACACTGGGTTGCTGTCATCATTTATCTAGTTAGAAGCTGTTACTTTGTGAAGAAGAAATCCAGAGAATAGCAGAGGTGATGAACATCATTGTAGAAAAGACTTTGTTTCTAAGGATGCACCAAATCTTGAAAACTGGTCATAACCTGTAAAACACATAGGTGACTGCATGCACATTATCTGAACATTTCTGATTGGTATATAGTTAGAAAAAATGAGCTGCTTGCACGATTTTTTGTTCCTACTGATGCAACATCTCAGTCTCTAGATTCTCCCAAGCAAACCTGAATGACCTGAAAATGTATTGGTCACACAGACCGATGACAGAGTCAGAACATGATGTTAGAAAAAAAGGCATTGCAAAATAAATTTAATCTTACAAATTATTACTCCCCTCACCTTCTAGAGCTGAAATTCCACAAAATAAGAGAGCTTAAACAGAACATGGTGGCATGTTGCTAAGTCCTAGCCATTTCACTGAAAGGCAACTATTTCTGCTAGAGTACATAAGGTACTGGCATTACAAACTTGTCTTAGGAGAGTGCATTTAAATATCACTGTACAACCATATGCAAGAGCTCTTGTACCACTAGAATGCTATGTAGTATTCATCTATATGAGGTGTACAGGGCTGTATTTCACAGAATCACAGAATCAATTAGGTTGGAAAAGACCTCTGAGATCTTCGAGTCCAATCTATGATCGTACACCACCACGTCAACTAGACCAGGGCACTGAGTGTAGTGTCCAGTCTTTTCTTTAACACCTCCAGAGACAGTGACTCCACCACCTTCCTTGGCAGCCCATTCCAATATTTAATCACTCTTTCCGTGGAGAAATTCCTCCTAATACTGAACCTAAACCTCCCCTAATGAAGCTTAAGACTATGTCCTCTCTTCCAGCCTGAGAGAAGAAACTGTCTCCCACCTGGCTACAACCTCTTTCCAGACAGTTGTAGAGAGTGATAAGGTCCTCCCTGAGCCTCTTTTTCCCCAGGCTAAACAACTCCAGCTTGCTCAGCCGACTTTTGCTCCAGGCCCTTCACCAGCTTCATTGCCCTTCTAATAAAACTATTGTCACACAAAAATTTTATGGAAGACAAATTTTGATAGTTGTTCAATAACTTTGCACACCCACAGAAAAAATGTTATGATAAAAATATCTGTGAATGTTAAGATACAACATTCAAAGATCAAAACTTATATTAAATTGTATTAAATCAGAGCTCTATGATGAATGATATTGCAAAAAAATTCTAATGTCTTATTCTTTTTTTAATGTCATGTTTTCATTGTTTATTTAATTTTAATTTATTAAATATTTCATTAGCAATTAAAGATATTTTATGAAAGAAAATAACATTTCATGTTCCAAAACAGATTGCAGTCTTGGGTTGTCCTGATATTTTTACATGAATAAACAAAATTTTCCTTACTCTTACTTCTTTCAATGTGTAAAACATTTCTGACATTCTATCACACATGATATTCCATATGAGAATGGGTTGTGTAAAATCCTCCATCTATAGTCCTCACCTTCAAGTGAAGGGAGACCCTTTGCAATTGAGAACTGTCACCTGATAAAAATTTGTGATGAATCTTCCTATGCAGGGAAAAATACAACTGCCTTGGTTGATATGAGAGATGCTAGGACTCAGGGATAAGAAATGAAGTTTAAGTAGCTCTGTGAATAAAATCTAATTTATTACGTAATTTTTCTCTCTATTGTGCATACTTGAGACTGTTATGCATGTTATCAACAGACAGTCATATATTCTTGGCCATAGCTGGTAGCTGCCCTGGTGTCCTGATAGGATGGAGAATTAAATACAGATTTGAATTTACAAAGCATTCTTTTAGTCATGGTGCTGGTGAAATTTAACACAAGGACTGCTTTCACACACAGTGGATACACCTCAGTTGATTTATCCACAACTTTTGGTTAATACGGAGGTTATTACAGGGTGGGTCCAGAAGACTGCACTTCATCTACCATCACATTATATGTCAAAGATGTGCCTGTAGAAAATATAATCAGATTTGTTAAATCCCATTTGTTTACAATTTCAAGTAAAATTGTTTCTTACAGGCCAAATAATCCATGAACTCACAGTTCACTGATTTAAATGGTAAAATGAGGAGTTAGTCTTCTGCATCTTGGCTGGAAGCAGTATGAGGAGTGGTTGAGGTCACTTAGCCTGTTCAGCCTGGAGGAGACTGAGGGGAGACCTCATTGCACTTACAACTCCCTCATGAGGGGAAGAGAAGGGGCAGACACTGATCTCTTCTCTATGATGACCAGTGACAGGACCCAAGGGAATGGCCTGAAGTCATATTAGGAGAGGTTTAGGTTGGATATTACAAAAAGGTTCTTCACCCAGGGGGTGGTCGGGCACTGGCACGGGCTCCCCAGGGAAGTGGTCACAGCACCAAGCCTGACAGAGTTCAAGAAACATTTGGACAACGCTCTCAGGCACTTGGTGTGACTCTTGGGGATCGTCTTGTGGAGGGACAGAGCTGGACTCGGTAATCTGTATGGGACCCTTCTAACTCACCATATTCTGTGATTCTGTGACCAGGAAAGTGGGTTTGTGTCCCTGTCACAAACTTATATTACAGGTAGACAAAAGAATATTTCACATCAAATGAACATTTCTTCTTTCTCTGTTTTTGTATATGTAACATTGAGATAATACATGCAAATATCTCTGAAGTAATTTCAGGAACAGATATGCAGTATTTTCTTTAGGAAAGGAGTGTTCTATTTTTTTGGCATTATTGTAAATAATGTATGGGAAACACTTAGGAGCTACTGATCAAAATACCTTTCTGTTGATAACTTGATTTAGTAGATGAGACAAAAAGCTTTTTCCCTTGAAGCTGTTGGCTTAAATGAGTTCAAGGTGAGGGCTAGCTTAGGAAAGGCTCCAAAGAAATGAGCAGTTTCATTTCTTGTAGAACTGCCACACTGTCAAGTTCAATATGTCCCTGGTAGAAACCTTTGTATTCTTGGCAAAATGCTGAAAAATGGCATGAGCTTGATTACATGCTATTCTTTTGCAACTACCACCAACGTTTTGAACTCAAGAAAGAGAACTGCAAATATCTTACCTGTTACTTTAGAAGCTACACTTTCTAAAGTCATTCCATAACTAAGATGCATTTTCCCACATTAATAATTTCAAAATCCGTGTTTTCAACCTTGCAACTCACAAAAAAAAAAAGGAAAGATGCTGAAGTAACTACATAACTCCATGAAGGCTGCAGTTTTATTTCATTAAGGACAATATTTAATTAGAAGTAGTGCATGGAACTGTTTTCTAATAAACACCATAAATGTCATATAAGTAGATATTATATTAGAAATAGATATTCTTCTTTGGTTATTTCCCCCTTCCATTCATACTGCACTGATTTGTACTGACCATTTTTTTGCTAGTTAGCTATCTAAGAAGAAGAGGGTTTCTGTACATGCGGGATTCATTTCTTCTACTAAAAAAGGCAAGACTTAATCTCTTTTTTTTTTTCTCCTGTGGGTGCATATTGGATTTAAGGGCTTTTCAGTTCCCTTTAATTGTTATGCTCATCTTTCTTGAAAGTAGCAGGCAGAATTGATGATATGCCATCATTCCCTCACCACTGTGCCTTATGTTGTAAGTCATATAAAACAAGGTACGAATCTTTTGGCTCTTCTTTTATTCCTTGTTTATACAACAGAGTCATAATCAATGAGTAGTGTGACCTAAAGAGAAATAATAGCAGCTTCCTAGTGTACCAGACCCATGTCAGATTTAGTGTTGGTATCTTCTGAAGGAATTTCTATGGTCCTTTTCACTGTCTTGCAGAATAGGTGCTCCCTCATAGCCACAAACTTGTTCCTGCTCTGATTTCTGATAATTTTAATGCAACACCCTTTTCAGCTTTCTAATCTCATCTTTCTGTGAAGTCAGGAAAAAGACTGTTAAACATGAGTGTTTCAGGCTTAGTATAAGTTTCTCATTTGAAATAAGGAGCTATAGGTTAGGAATTCCCTGCACACTGCTCAGCTGCAATTTCAGGGCATGATTAATTTCTCGGTGCAAATCATCAGGCAGACACCCTCAGGGGTTCCTTGCTTCTGCTTAAAGCAGAAGACTGAAAGAGAGGACTGCTCATTCACAGTGAATTACATTCACTCCCTGTAATTTTACCGTCTACATACACCCATAAATTTTTCTCTATATCAAGAGCTACCACTTAAATGTATACACAGATGTATACTTTCTGATAAGTTCCTTTCAGATTCTGAAGTCTGAGTTTTAGGATCTCTAGGAAATTACCATATGCGATGAGAAATGCAGTTCACAACCGAGAGAAATGCATCAAAATGCAAGGCTTTTTCTCAAAACTTCATTTTCAGAGCTCTGCCTCACCTTCTCTCTCGTTGCCGATAACCTCTCAGCAGCAGCCCCACGAGCTGAGACGCACGAAACAACATTTGCAGGCGGTAATATGTGATGATAACCTTGACTGACATACATCATCATTACCGCTCCGTAAGGCAGGGGCGACCCACATGCCCAGCGCACCCAGGCAGCGAGAGGGGGCGGCCACTCGGTTTCTCAGCCTAATGTCCCTCGGGATTTTCCCGGCCTCCCTGGCCGGGGTGCGGCTGTCCCTCCCTTCTCCCTCCCAGGCCCCCGGCGGCCCCGCGGTGCAGCCCGGCCCGCCTCGCCAAGGGCGCGACGCCCCGCGGCGCCGCCAGGTGGCGCCTCGCGACCACACTTGGAGCGGAGCCGCGGGCGGGGCCGGTGGGGGCCGGGGCGGGTCTGGTGCGGGAGCGGGTCCTGGGTCGGGGGAGGGTCTCAAAGCGGGTGCGAATCGGGGGGCAGATCCTGGGCTGCGAGTGGTGGGGGAGTGGGTCCGGTCCAGGAGCGGGTCGAGGAGCAGATCCCGCTCCGGAAGTAGGTCAGGGAGCGGGTCCCAGCTCGGGAAGCTGAGACGCCCCGTGGAAGAAATACTTCAATAAAGGGCGAGCCGCCGCCGAGCTCTGGGCGCCGAGGCGCGGGGGTACGGGCGTGGGAATGAGGCTTTTCAGTGTGCGGGGTGCAGCCTTACGGCGTGAAGTGCCCCAAACAACGTGTCCCTTTTAGTGATTATTATTAATATTATCAGAATAATTAAAGTCTATGAATTCCAAATAGTTCCCAGTTAGCGATGCTGCGTGGTTCGGTCGCAGCAGCGCTAACGTGTCGGTGGCATGTTGGTACAGGTGCGGCTCAGCACGACGGGTTTAAGTAGACATACGGGAGAAGGTGGACGAGGGGATATGGCTTTTCCCTGCCACTGGTGACACCCTGCGGCGGGGCGCCCCGGAGAGGCTGTCCCAGTGGGAATACCGCACCTCGCCGCGGCTACTCGCGATGTGCTGAGGTGCGGCTCCAGGGAGTGGGGCGTCTGGCCGGGGCAAGGGATGGGCTGCGGGGTAGACGGAGGTGCCGTGGCCACACTCCGCTCCGCTACCGGCGTCTGAATCCCTGCCGGGTGCGTGTCTGTGTGTGTCTGTGTGTGTCTGTATGTGTATGTGTGCGTGAAGAGGGGAGGAGGGAGGAAGTGGGGTGGTGGTGGTAGCGGCTGGCGGGAGGGGGATGATTATTGGCAATGGGCGGGAGAGAAAGAGGCGACTCCTGTTTCCTTTTCTTTCTGCCAGCGCAATCTCGGCTCATTTTCTCTGAGCAATACAAGTTCACGGACGAGCTACCTAGCCAGCCCTCCTCTCCCGTCATGGACCTCCCAGGTAAAAAGGCGGTTCTCCTCCCCGCCGGCTGTTCCTTTTGCAAATTAGCATTTTACATGATAGCAAAAATAAGATGCAGCGTTAGGGAAGCGGTAGAGATGCCTCCGGGGAAGTGTAGGGGCGATCTCCCAGGAGCGAGATCGCCGGGTGTTCTGGTGAACGGGAAAAACTGAGATGCAACTTCCGAGGGAGATGTCGGGTGAGGCTTTGACTCCTGAGATGTGTGCATGCCGGGGTGGGAGCTGAGGGGTACCGGCTGCTTCCTTCCCGAGAGTTTAGGAGCCGCCGGGGTCGGCGGCAGCGGTGGTAGCCTGGCCTGGGGGACAGAAGGTTGGGAAGTACAAATCCACCCGAGCGCAGCTCCCCAGCCAGGCGGGGAGAAGGGCGGCGGCGGCTTCCAGAGCCCGTCCGGGGCAGCGCCGCGGCGGGGGCGGGGGCTTCGGGCGTCTTGGCCACCCGCGAACTCTAGAGGTAGCGGGGCAACTCCATCGAGGGGCGAGAGGGCGCGTTACCAATAACAAGAATAAAATTTCCTCCCGTAGTGGCTGGGGCGTTAGGAGAGGGATGTAAACCCGGCTCGCAGATGTAGTAAAAAGTGGGGCCCCGCGAAGTAGCCGGGTTTCGGAGCCTCCGTCAGTTGTGGGGTGCCCCTGTGGGGCGCCTGAGGCGCCTGCAGGGTACTCCACCGCGGGTTTGGGGATGCAGTCTGCCGCGCTGCCCCCTCCTCCCGCCTCAGAGTACGGCTGGGGCTGCGGGACCCCCGGCTGCTGGGGGACGGGAGAAAGAGGGGACACCGGGCAGCGAGATATCTCCCAGACCTGTTGTGCCGGCTGGGGCTCCCGGGGCGGGGAGGGGCAGCCCGCGCTAGCGGAGCACTGCCGGGTGGCGCGGTGCCGGCTCCTGCTTGCCCGCTGCGGTGCCTCACCGCCGCCTTTCCCCTTGGCAGGCTGCTGCGCGCCGGCCGCCCTCTGAGAAGGCTCCTTCGCCTCGCGCGGAGGAGGAGAAGGGAAGGAAGGCGCGGTCCCAGCCGCCGCTGCCCAGCCGCCGTCCCGCAGAGCGCTGGCCGCGGGGCGCCGCGGCGGCAGCAGGCGCGCAGCCCCCTCCGCCTGCCCGCGCCCGCCCGCCCGCGGCGGCGGCGGGGGCGCGGGGCGCCCGCACGGCGGCGGCGA